AAAATCATGTTTAATTAAAAATTTAAGATATTATATAAGGGAAAAGTGTGGCCTGGCACCAGATTTTTTTTTTTTGGTCTTGCTTTTTTTCAATAAATTAATATTTTTAAAAAAAAGAAAGTCTAAAAATAAATTTGGTACTAGACCACACTTTTCGCTTTATATGATATTTTATAAATTAAAAATATTTTTAGATTCAGTTTGAATAATATAGTTTAACTTATTTTTTTTAAAAGCTATAAATGAAATAAATTTACTATATGCTAAATTCTAAATTAGTAAGCTAAGTACACTTACTTAAACCTAATCCAATATTTTATGCTCCACTATCTCCAATTTAATTTGAACTTTTCAAAAAAAATAAATTTATTTATTGATTATTTAAATTTATTTTGAAATTTCTATCAAAATGTATCAAATAATTCAAACTTTTTTAGTTATCAATAAATAAATAAAAAATTATTTTACCCAATGTAAAATTTGAGATTAGTTAGCAATTTGCAGTTACCAAGTGCTGTACCAATAGTAGAAGCTCCATCATTCCCAATTTGATTTTACCTTTTATATATGCAAATCAAGTTTAATTCAAAATTTAAGATATTTTATAAATTAAAACTATTTTTAAATTAAGTAAAAATAAAATGCTTTAACTTAATTTTTTTAAAAAAATTATAAATGGAATAAATTTACCCTAATACTAATTCTAAATTTGTAAGTTAAGTACACTTACTCAAACCTAATCCAATATTTTATGCTCCATTATCTCCAATTTAATTTGCACTTTTTAAACAAAATAAATTTATTTATTGACTATTTAAATTTGTTTTGAAATTTCTATCAAAATGTATAAAATAACTCAAATTTTTTAGTTATCAATAAATAAATAAAAAATTATTTTACTGAATGTAAAATTTGAGATTAGTTAGCAATTTGCAGTTACCAAGTGCTGTACCAATAGTAGAAGCTCCATCATTCCCAATTTGATTGTACCTTTTATATATGCAAATCAAG